AATATCAACTTTCTTTTCATTTTTACCTTTGAAAATATAATAAAATAAATATGTGCTTAGACAGAGACGTTAGAGTTATCCAAATGTCAGACCGACCTGTTCCAGTTCATGATAAATTTTACTATCAATGCCTTTTTCTACATTGTAATACTTGTGACAAACATATCCAAAAAGCTGACATTATAAATCATACGATGAAATGTGTGCATCGCACAATAAATGTGTACGTTTTCTTTACACCCATTCCAAAATTAGTGCTTGGAAATCACCATAGCTAGGGTTTCGTTATAACAATGTTTAAGATACACATATGCTATACATATGTGGGCCACTGCACACCTACGCATACACTGTAATCATTATCAGTATAGCATATATATGTGTATTTTCAGACATTTGTATCTAACCCCCGTGAGTATATTATATGAAAAAAAACATCTATGCATATGTTTTTGATAATATACTTAAATTGAAGCATTTCTTATTAAGGAATCAAAAAATATAAACTTTGGGTTATTTGGTTTCTTGATAGTTTATTGGGAAATATATCATTAATAAGAGCGTAGCTCTCGGGGGCTGTAGGCGCCCGAGCGAAGCTCTTTAATGGTAACACATGCGTGCGTAAACAAAGTTGCTTCCCTTTTCTACCCGTTGCCTTTAAAAAAATTCGTCCGGAAGCAGACGTCCAGTGGGAAAACAGGAAGTGCATCCTTGAAGCGAAGACAATTGTGTTTCAACCCATACATGAATATCTTCATATAGTGAAAACCATCTTCAGATTTTATTACTTGTTTATTTAGATAACAAATGATATACATTCTGAGTGAAAAAATCTATCACATAAATTTTGATACTAGCAGGCATGAAACGTCGCTCAGAGATTATCATACTCTGACCTCACAAGAACGTCAAACTCCATCGGCCTTCATCGGTTATTTCCGGAAGGATAAAAGATAACCGGAAAATCTTGGAACTGATTGCCGTTGCATTTATCTCTTTGTCGGTGCTTCATGACTTTTTAATTTCAGTTTTTGCGGATGTTTTCTGAAGATCCTTTTTGTCATCAACCAGGTTCTGTTAATATTTCTACTGGAATATATGTTCAAAAAGAGCCGCATTAAAGCAATAGGTCAATGATACCGTGTGGCAAGTTTGGCCCATGTAACGCATAAAAAGTTGTAAAAGTGGCGGTTTAATCTGAAGATGCATGCTTTATAACATCATAATTAAGCTGATTCGACAGGGAAAATTAAATAATGTTCAAAAACGGACGTGCTGCCATACTTCCCAGAACGGACTTTAATAAAAATGGGCCGAATTTGCCCCGATCTCCCCTATTGTTATGTCGTTCTTAACCTCATTAGAGTTTATGTTTAATTGTTATCCCTCGACTAGTCCACTTTAAATACATTTTATCTTGCCTCATTCTGAAAGCAGTATTATCTCATTCAGTTTCTGAATCATTAAATATCGGAGATCAACAAAAGCTTCGCTCTTTTAAGGCTTTGCAGTGCGAGCCGTTAAGGCAACACATGTACGGAAATTACGGGAAAATGACAGTGAATGGGTTCTATGCTATTCCGCTTTTGCGTATTGCAGAGTTATCTTCTCTTGAGAGCAGACATTGGTTGTTACGTCATTTGTTTGTGAGAGTAACGTCATCAATTTTTGAGAAAACGACACAATTTTCTCACACAAACCAATGACGTAACAATCAATACATGTTCTCAAGAGAAGATAACTTTGCAATACGCAAAGACGTAATATGAAGGCTTTAAAATATTTCGTCCTTCCGGTCGTACTGTACAGGCTCGCAAAAACCGGCAACATGCGTTGCTCCGTGACTGCATTGGCGTTCTTTTTCTGCACAAACAATTAATTTGTCATCTTCAATGAACACCTTGTATTTTACTGCTGAAATTTTTCGATGTATTATTTTGATATTTTCATTTTTCTCGAATTGAAAATTATTTCAATGTGGTACATGTGCTTGGTTATTTGTCCTTAGCTTCAAAATGACATCAGTTGATGCTGGTAAGTCCGTATATATATATATTATATACCAGTCACACGTAATTGCTGTTTCTGAAATGATAAATTGACGCTCACAACATGTTGTGACGCGACTGTGACGTCACTGTTAACACGCGTCATCGTAGTGTTGACAATACATTCACTGAAGTCAACCCGAATTTTTTGCAGCTATACCACATTATGAAGAATATTTTGATTTTTGTTTATTCATATCCCTACTGTTCAGTGCTCATTTTTACTTTGTAGTGTAGGCAGGTTCACATAAATGATATCTTTGATGTGACGTTATAGTACGTATTTCAGGCATTTGTGCTACTTTTAAAAAGTTCTTCTGAAGTAATTTTATCACAATTATCAAATAAAAAAAAAAGTTTCTGAATATTCAAACACAACGATAATTTTTTCTGCGTTTTCATCTCAGAATACTGTCATATTTTCATGTTACTTGATTTAACACAATATGATTTATTCTAAAAAGGTGCATTTTGCTGCGTCATTTGTTTCTTCACCTTACCAAATTATTTTGGAGAAAAATATGCAGTAAATTCTCTTACAGTAAATTAATAATTGTGTACATATGTTTTTGTTACAATGTATGTGATGACTATTGGCATCAGAATAATACTTCGCAGACTGTCTTCATTGAAATTGCTACGATTGCCCAGCATGAAACGTCATCATCACTTTTAAACAGACTGATTTTAATCATTTTAATTCAATTTTTCATTGAGAAATGGAATGGAGTAATTACAGATACAAAACAAATCTATGAACTTCTTTTGTTTAGAGTTTTGTATCATCGCAACAGCTAATTAAGAAAGATGAAGGAAAAATAGATAAGGGTAAAAAACATTTCAATATGGACGGCAGATCGATTTCAGTTAATTATCACTATGCAGATGACATATCTAGATGAGTGATTTAATATTCCCAATATCTAATTTGTAAGTGTTTCTAAGGTGCTTTGAAAAACAACAAACCAGGGCTGATCCAGTGCGGGAGCCAAACTTACACAAGGGCTGGGCACATTCGGTCATCCAATCATCCGACATGAACAAGTTGAACGATTCTCCAAATACAGATGGTCAATTGCTCTTTTGTTATTATTTTATGAAAAACATTGAATATCTCTATATATCCATATATACAACATTTGATATAGTGCCCTATCTAGCTAACATAAGCCACTCTAAAGCGCTTTACGGTACATAGATATACAATTAATACCATTAGCATAACATTAATTCAATAAAAAAAAAATTATGAGGAATTCGCAGGAGCTGCTTTATCAGGCGCTAACTACTATCCCTTTGCCACCTGGCTAATATCTCCCCGTGTGCGTATGCCTGCGTGTGCACCTGCGTGTGTGCTGGAAATGTAGGTTAGTGAGGCGTACGATAGCGGAGTGTATATACACGCATGCGGCAGGAATGTGATAAAACTATTACTCTATAAAAAACACGCACAATGTCATATACACACAACCTGGGTCTCCTCGAATAGCTGGTGTCCAGTACTGTTTGGGAAAAGTCTCTCCAGTACTAATACATTTATACACGAGTCTGGCACAATATCTTATAGACCTTTCTTTTTGTTAGCTGGTAGCTTAGATAAAAACAGTTCACGTTGCCGGTGAAGAGCATAACACAACCGCCTCGAGATGAATTCCACCTTTCCACGCAGATCTGGGTCAGACGTACTAACACTGGTCGAGTCCAGAATAACTGCAATGTACATGTTCAGCCTTGTATTGTCACCTAGATGTTGAGATGATTCCGCAAGGTGGGATTGACGTACAGAAACAAAAGGGTTGGACAATCCATAATAAAATGCTCCCTTGTTTCGGCTCCTTGCTTACAGAGAAGGCACGTGGGGTCCTCAGTGTTTTGATTGAAGGCACTCCGGTTACTCTGCAGAAGATAGGTACCCGTCAGTAGCCGTAGTTTTACTGGCATTATTCCAATGTCTCCTCTGTCAGATGATACGGTGGATAGCGCCGGGTGCATTACTCCGGCCTTATAGTTAATACAGTTTAGATATTTGAGGGACTTGAAATACTTTGACTGACTGACTATCTAAGCTTCCCAATAGGCGTTGACGTTTCTGTTGATTCTAGACTTCCAATGCGTATAGGACATGTCGGAATCCATTACATCCTGAGCACTAGGTAGGTCATATATTGATAACAAGTTGGATATTTTTTCAAACCAGCTATTTGATTTCGGGTTAGCTGCAAGTAATTGTCTCTTTGCAATTTCCGTCTCAACTGAGGGCTTTAACGCGATTGACCCGAATAGGTTCAGCATGTTCTTGTGTATCTTAGCTTTTAATGGGAGCGTTCCCGTGAGTACATGCACTGCAACGTCTGCCACGTTTCCAGGGAGTGAGAATATTTGCTTTAGTAATTTCCAAAATTCGGTTTCCACAGGTTCCAGGTTCTTGTTTGTTGGGCCTAGTATTTCCAGTCCATACGTGAAAATTGGAACTTCATACGTGTTAAGTATATGGAGGTTTGTGGATGGGTTTCGCGCGTTTTTCCGGTGAAACCCTGTACCCATGAGCCCATAAACAGTACATTTCCCTTTCTTGATGTTCTTTTGTATGGTGCCAGGTGCCGATTTGTTTGGGTTGCTGTGATGGATTACCGCAAGGTGTGTTGACTCTGTGGCAATAGGAAGCACATCCTCACCAATCGACCATGAGTAGAGCATATTCATCCACTGAATGCTTACAGTTTGCTGAGAGAATTTCACATTTGGCTGGTTGGAGCGTATAGTAGTGTTCTTCACTATAGTTCTTCACAATGTTCAGGAGAGTTTGAAGCCCGACTTGTGTATGGTCAATTAGCGTAACATCGTCAGCACATGCTGGGGTCGCACAGTGCACGGTTCTAATTTTGGATCCAAGGCTTGACTTCTCAATACGATCCAGTAGGTTGTTAATGTAGATCTTGTATAGATCCGTACTCAGGATCCCCCCTGTCGGACTCCTTGTTGGACATTGATGTGGTCGGACATAGATCCTTCCCATTTGATGGAGGTTTTTGCAGAGACGTTGAGATCATGAACAACCTCCCATATCTTTCCTTTGATGCCGAGGTTAAATAGCTTCCTGTCAAGAATAGTATGACTTACTGTGTCAAAAGCCGCCCTAGCGTCCAGCATCGCCACAAATATTTTGGATGAAGGTTTGTTGGCTAAAGCTTCACGCAGAATAAGACCAGCACGAAGGGGAGATATCCCTCTAGTGAAGTCCCGTTGGAGCGCGTTTTGTTGTGGTTTAAATATAGGTTGGATTCTTATCCGTAAAACTGCCTCAATTGTCTTATTGCCTTTCTTTTTGTAGATAGGAGTAAGCTGGCCAATTTTCAGACAGTCTGGAACTTTCCCTTCAGCTATAAACAGGTTAAATAGGGTGGCAAGTACCTCAGTAACGTTAATACCTCCATACTTGAGATGTCCTGCGGATAAGTTGAATACATCCTCAGCCTTGTTGGTATTTAGGCTCGAGACTGCATCCTCGACTATCCTGGGGACTATCATTTCATCGCTGGTTGGATTTTGCCCCTGGCATATGGATTTTATTACTTCGATGTCAAACTGTATATCACCCATCCTGCATTGGTCGGTGTGATCCTTGGACGGGTCTGGTCTAGCTAATTTACTAAAATGTTCTTTCCATCCCAGTAGGATGTCGTTGGGATTACTGTATGTCTTGTCATCAACTGTCAGTTCACTAAGTGAACTACCTTACCAGATCTATAAGGCGGTAGAATGTTTTCCTATCTCCCGTTCTCGCCTCCATAATCTACCCCATATAGTCATCCCTTTTTCTTCCTATCTCAATTTCCCTCTGTCTGCGAAGTTCCTTCTTTGCCTCTCTCCTTCTGTCAGTAATCGGACCCTTTGATGGCCTTTTATGCTCTTTCCACAGCCTAAGAGCTGCCTTATTAGAAGCTGTAGCTTCTTCAATCTTGATGTTCCAAATCTGCCTCTTACTTCTCTTTAACTTGGTGGTATGTGGAGCAACACTAACTGCAGAGCTGGAGAATATGTCCTGAATTTGAAGTGTGATGAGTTCAGTTGAGAGGTACCCCCAGTCAATACCTTCAAGGTTTTTTGACAGCAACTATTGATACCTGGCCTTGTCCATTTTCTTCCAATTTATCCTTCTGGGATTTGCTGGTATATCAGTAGTAGTGTTATCCGACTTTGATGTAGTGTTGTAGAGTACAACTACCATAATTGGATGATGATCCGAGGTATTACTGGTAAGATCGTCCATTCTGACGATTGATGGCATGCCCTGTTCCTGACTGTACGTTTGATGAACTAGGACATAGTCAATAGTCGAATTATCTCTGCCATTTGGATGCTCAAAGGTTTCTTTGGTGTACTCGGTCTGGAATCCACACTCATTCATAAATCGGTTTAGTATTGACTGACGAGGAGAGGTCTTTGTGAGATCACAGTTCATGTCGCCGAGGATAAAAACATCATGTGTATCAAAATAGTTCCTTGTAATCTCCTGTAGGATGATCAAGCAGTCCTCATACATAGAATCTGAATTCCTGGAATTTCCGCATGGCATATAGACGGAAACAATAACAAGTGGGCGGGGTTTGCCTTTGACTTCCACACATACTTTTCGTTCATTTCATTCTTCTAGTTCAGTTACTAGGTGATCAATGCTTGTACACCATAATATTGCAACTCCCCGTAGCCCCTTGGTCTTTGCGTAGGTGGACGTGGGTTGTGTTGGTCTACAGATTTACCTAAACAGCAGAATTTTCTTCGCGTACTGCGCAGCTTATACAGTTCATGGTAGAGGAGCCAATGTTCCTGTAAACAAATAATTGAGGCCATATTGGTCAAATTCTCGATACAGTCTAAGGTGTTGAGGAAGTTTTTACAATTATATGAAACCGTTCCTAGCTTTGCTATATTGGCGTCCTTCGTGTTGGGCTGACATCTAAAAAAAGACACTGCAATCGAGTTAGGACATGGAGTAGTGTTTGTGACTAACATGATGGATTCCTCTAGCTTATCTATGCCCGTATCCTCTGCATGTTCTTTCCTTCCTTGTGTGAAAGGTTTCGAGGTGGAGTTGTTGGAATTATTTAAGCCTGTAGCTCCGGGGGTACATTTTTTCCGGACACCCATGCACGAGTAGTTATTTCATCCGCAACCTTATCGACTGCTTGCTGGAAGGTCTTTCTTTTTGTTGACACATTTAGTTTCTCCTGTCCCCCTGTTTCCTTGAACTGGTTCCGGTTGATATTTGGTTTTCTTATCAATGGAGGTCCTTGATAATATGCTGTGGGTGGTATGTGTTGATGATACATCCCTGGGGATGGTCCAAAAAAGGGCTACTGCTGTATGTTCTGAGGTTGGCCGAGTCCCTCTATCGTCTCAATCCTACCTATAAGTTGATTCATCTCGATGTCTTGAATTTTCCCTGCAAGACTTCTTCGTTCTTCTAGTGAACTGATCTTGTGATAAAGTTGCTCCAATTTCAAGTCGATTACTGTATTTTCCAGATCACTCACTCTATCACTTGCTGAAGTATGGGTTTTAACCTCTCGAGAGTCATCCTTCGCATAGCCGGCCGGTGTCCCCTGTGATTCATTGACTTTACAGCCACTGATAGAGTTACAATTACATGGTGAGGTATTATCTGACATAGATGAGTTTACTTTCATTTTTAAAATTTTGTTTGTATCCTCAAGGTTTTTTATTTTCTCTTCCAGGTGTACAATATGGGAGTGAAGTCTGGATACATTTTTAGTAACCTCCCCTACAGCCATCTTTTCTTTTTTGCGTTCGTCCTCTCTTTTCCTTAATTTCAGCTCTTGTTGGCGTAGTTGCTTGGAGTCTTTACCCAGGGCCTGTGTGCACTCATGAGTAGACTGAGAGGTAGGGGTGTCTGTTGAGCAGGACTTCCCATCGCCCTCTATAATAGAGTTACTTTTCGGAGCAGACAGGTTGGTTGAGAAGTTCTCACATCTTGTATTTGCAACACTCGTCTGCATATTGGTCTGTAGTGATTTTAGATGCTCCACTTGACTCACGCTAGTTTCGGGAAGCTTGGTCTGCAGGCTGCTGTCTATGATGTTCTGACGCAGGCATGATCAGCATGAGGAGTCAGTATGATGTTGCCTTCACTATTGGAAATAGAAGAATACTGAGCAGATGAAACAAGTTGACTTTTTGCTGTTGCGTTAGTGGTACAAAGGTCGCGATTGGCTACCTGACTAGGGCTGGGTTCCTGACTTGAACTGTCGCTCTTTGTCCTGTTTCGCACGATATTAGAACTAGAGCTTGCTCTTCTCTCCATCTGAGCCAGTAACTCGCTACATTTTTCTGAGATCTGATTGTTCAAATGCTTGAATGACTTATCGTTCATATAATTGACAATAGAGCGGAAATAGGACACGAATATACAAAGATCACATCCATTTACAAGGGCAGAATAAGTAGTATGATATAGGTTGATAGAGTAAATCTTACTAGCAGGAGTTTCCTCGCCTGTGAGTCCGACACTTTCCACAGCTCACGGACACACAAACCGCTCTTGTCATAGCTCTCACTTTTATCTACCATGATACCATCAGTTAGTTTAACAGCTTTTTCCATCTGAACCCGATAAAATTCGTAGGCTGCAGCAGAGAATTTTAGAACCAGCCCGCCGCCTGTTGAGGTTCCCTCACAATCTAAGCTCCTTTACCCGGCAGAGATTTTCTTTCTAATCGCAGAACATTTATTAAGAGTATAACCAACTTCCCTCGCACCAGTTGTCGCTTCATCTCTGTTTCAGATATCTGATTTTTCACGGAGTGAAATATGTTGTTGGCTTCCGTTGTCTGCCTGATGATCTGGTTGCAATGGGGGCAGCCATCTTGTATTATTGCGGCAGTTGCACGATAGCTAGCGCGGGAAATTGCAGTCACGTGACCCAAAAATGTATGTCTACCATTAGATTTCCAATAAAATATTCAATAAAATGAAGCAGAGTTGCTATACTATAGCAGACACGGTACACCTGCGTAATATCGCCGATTGTTAATAAAACATTATAAAATTACATAAAAATATATACGGAATGATTAAAAGATTGGTTTTTAGTCCACCCAGTGGACCGACCCGAGCTCACTCGGCAGAGCTATATTTTAAAATGTCACTAAAACCACGGACTTAGATAACATCTAATCTAATTCCATGCTAAAACCTACAGTTCTTGAATATAATCAATAAAATAGTATCAGCAAGTGTTGACTTTTGTCCTCACACCACCTCCTTACCACCCGTGCAAATTAAAAGCAGTTTAAAAGCAGTTAAAAGCTTAAAAATGTTCGTCCCACACTTCACCAGCCACCACCACCGAGCGCCATCATTTAATATCATATATTATAACTCTTTCAAATCCAAGTTGATTTTAACATATGACATATTGTTCAGAACGACTTTGATAAAAATGGGCCGAAATTGCCCCTGTTCCAAAATGGAAACATATTTTTTGAAATAAAAACCCGCAGGCTGGCAGGGGTTAAGGGAGGGATGGGGATGGGGGATGGGGGATCCTGGTGTAACCCTTCCGCGAGGACTGGATGCATGGTAACCTCTACTGAAAGTACAAATATTTAACTGTTAAATTATGTAGGAAACATTTATTTCATGTGTAAATTTCATGCCCGCTGTTTAAGTCTCGCCTATATAGCTATTTCATATTATTTTGGAGGAAAAAAAAAA